ACCAGAGATTGTCCAATGAAGGTGACGTAAAATCTGTCAGGACTGACTGACAAAACTTTGACCCACGAACCAAGACATACAACGCCACAGCATATAATGTTAGTCCACCTAAATCCGATTCGGTCCACCATGTACGTAGCAGGGAAAATGAAGATCACGTAATAAGCCATGAATGACATTGCTGTCCAATCGACAGCCGTTGAAGAAACCCCATAGTACCTGAGAAACGTGTACCTGTTCACTCAAGTCTTTAATTTCCCTTTTAATAGATACTGCTTCTTTAATTACAATCCATTCGATTCCGAAATCTCCAAGATTTTTTTTTTTTTTTATATATTAATTAATATCTGATGTTATCGTGAAATTTACAATTTCAAAATGTAAATTCCACGGATTAATGCAATGATCAATTGATTTTGCAATTGTAAGAATTTATCACACAAAGAGAAGAGAGAATTTATTTCGGTTATCTTTGTTTTCCTATGTGCGAAACAAAAGAAAAAAAATTTTTCCATCGCGATTGCACGCTGCTAGCTTCGTATATGGTTTGTTTGCATGGTTCTTCAACTTTCTAGATAAGTAATAAAGATTTCAAGCGTATCGGGGAATTGATTGTCATTGCTCTTACACGTTTCGAAAGTATTAAGAAATTTTATTTAGTTTGTAATGGAATCGCAAGAATTAAAAATTGTAATTGTTGATTTATGCGATAATTACTCTGTTGTATTATACTTGTATGGAATTCTTTCAGGACTTTTTTTTTTTAGTTCAAAACGAAGTTAATTAATTTTCAACGAAAGTGTATTTTTCTTTAAAAATTTCTGATTTTTCACAAGAATTCTCGTTTATTTTTTTCTCATTGCGTCTCGGATATGTTACATACATTTTCTTTTGAACGATCAAGGTTACCAGTTATAAAGCAATATATTAATACAAAGTAGAAATTCTCATAATGTTGAATGACAGAAGTCTAAATACCTGCTAACTACATTGGCGATTATAGAGTATTGAATCCATTGGGAATTGCTCACTCCCGTGTACAGAATGTACAGAGCCAATATTAGCCATCGTTTCTTGTACACTTTCGTCTCCAATGGATTGCTGTTGTTCTTCTCATTACCATTTACTACCTTCACCAAATTGTTCACGCACAATACTTCGTTTAGATCCTTTTCCTCTGTCATCCTCCTCTGTCAACTGTCGAGTATCCTTCCAACGATATATCAGTTTCTCTCTGAATCGAGTCGGAACAACGAGAAATGTTCAAGGAGATTCTGAATGCCTCAGCAGAAACAACTTTGTTCGTCAAAATCTCTCCATATTCGTCTGTTCCATGGGCAAATTCGCTTCACGAGTGACACCAGTTGCAAAACTCGTGGACATTTCTTCTACTAGATATTCGGTTCAAGCAGCTTCCTCGAAGATTCTCTGCTCCTCGCCACTCGACGAACGACAATTTTCTAAACCGAAGAGATTGCCGTGTCGAGTCAAGACGGCGCGATCTCCATCTCGATCGCAGACGAACTACACGATGACATTGTTTTTCGTCTTATCTCGATTCACGATTAAACAATTATATTTGCGACCGGGTTACCTTCCGTAATATTGCCGTTATCGCGATTTCTTTTTTCCATTTCTTTCTTTTTCATCACGATGTGTCTGGTCTTCTTTCTCATTTTCGTCGATCAGAATCTCGATCGCTTTCAATTTCTTCCCCTTCCGTTCTCTATGTTCTGTTATATAATTTCTTTCTCTCCTTTCTTTGAAATTTTTTCAGCGACAAAAACGGGCAGAGACTTCTCGCAAAGCAGGAGACCGGTTCCACACGACAAAGAATTAAGACGCTTTTACGACATGTATCTGTCAGGTTGCACGATCTCGGATGCAAACAGTTGGTAAAACGCATGTTAATCTCGGAGTTCTTCTCGTCTTTGGAACGGCGAGACGGTTTCGCGAGGAGAAAACCTCTGGCGCCATTCTATAGACTTTGGGGTTTAGTCGATGTTGCAATTTACGAGCACAGGCGGGCCATAATCTGGGAATAAGATGTCTTCGCGAATCGATCCAGTGCCTCTTTTTCGATTGTTTTTTTCTTTTTAGCGATTTTAGCTTTTTAATGCTCGAAGCTGTACCTTTTTATTTTTTCTTTTGTCTAAAAATTGATGTGTGAATGAATAAGTGCAACGAAAACGGGACAACAAATGATCGTTCGTTTGCTTATTTTATTTTGTGCGTTAATTAAATTTAATAAAATGACTCCGATATATTACGAAACAATTTTTCTGTTTTCTAGGTCGACCCTTTCTAGACAGACTTTCTATAATTTTCATTTTCAAGGTACGAAATTTATCTTTAGAATCGTCTAGGCTAAAAGTTTGGAAACCGATCTCGTTTCCATTTAGTTGTATACAAATTCTTTGATATTACGTAAGTAGATATAGAACTTTTGATAAGTTATCGGACTTGCTCGTAATTGTCGTTGATATCTGATATTTAGCCTTCTATTTTCTGTCTAATCATAAATCTTGTCGACACTCATTGAGAAAAGAGTATGGCAAACAGTAACGAGATGCCAATTATACACTGTTTCAGGTATTTCAATTTAATTCTCCTGTCCGGTTTAAAACATTTACGGTGTAGAACATTTACGAAAGGAAAATGTTGTATAATGAATGTAACAGAAGTTTATTAGATATTACATTTTAACAATAAAGACAATGCAAATCTGAGGCTCTCTCTCTGAGTTACATAAGTTTATAATTTATTAAAAAATTATAACATCTCCGACACGATTCTCTTCATAAACTCCGTGACAATCTTAAATGCATTAACATTAATGGTAACATTAAAAAACGTCGGAAAAAACTATGAGTGGTGCATACGGAAATTTTCTTCCATTTGTAAAAATATGTGACACTCGCGTATATGGTACAGTACCAAAATTTCGTCCTGCAATCGGGTGAATCGTTAAACATAAACCAAATCACAAATAATTATCGTCGATTAAGAAAGAACGTGAGTAGCTAGAATTTAGCATGATTCTAATATGGAACTAGCGAGTAATAAATCGAAGAAGTTATACAAGAAAGTCTTCCTTAATTGAATGATTTTCAGACCAAAAAGTTTTCGCATTACGCTTATTTATATAATAAGCTTCCTGATACATCTCGAACGAAGATTTCTCGAAAGAGCTTCCGTTTGATTTTCGTTTCGTTTCGATTCTTTTTTTTTTTTTTACCGAGGTTGAAATATTATTCTCGAATTTGTCGTTTACTCCGAACGTAAAACCGCGAATAACGCACCTTCATTCATAACCCATTAACAACAATTTACAATTTCACGTATCGTTCGATTCTCCCCTATTAATTATGTACACAACTAACTGACTCAACAGTTCGCCATCAGGTCAGCTAACTAACGTTTTACAAGAAAATATACAATCTGCTCTAAGTATCGGTTTTTATCTCTTCCATTGCACGCAAGAACGTGGTATAATGAATATTAAACGAACCAGGCACGCAATGTCGGTACTTTACCACACCGCGACGTGGTTACCTTACATTATACGCAACATCGTCCCTTTCATTTTTACTTTTATTTTTTTTATTTTTTACTTTTTTTCCCTTTAAATTCTATTCTCCCGAGAGTCAGTTTTTATTTATATACGCACACACACGGTTTCTCAAGTACTCGAAGAATCATCTATCCTCATCTGAAACGAGCCCTCGAAAATATATTACAAACGACGGATCGCTATCGTTACGAAGTCGAAAGAACAATTGTTTCTTTATTTCGTACGGATTAATGTTAAAGTGTCTCGTTTATGTATATATATATATATATATATATATATGCATTTTTTTTTATATCTATACACATAGTCTAACGATTACTCGTATTGTATACAATTTATTGTTTAATAATTACTATATAACGTTTTTGGAACCGCGGTCCGGTACAATTGATATTTAACGTGTTAACGTATTGTATACATTATGTATTACAAACTATTCAATTCACCGAGCAACAGTTCTCACAGGGCGACACTCTGAATGTAAAAACACGTGGAAAAGATTACTTCTTTTTTTTTTTTTGAAATTATTCTTTCTTACTTCCTCTCTTGTTTTCTATTTATTTATTTATTTATTTATTTATTTATTTATTTATTTATTTACTTCTTCTGGTTTGCCCATTTTACGACGATGTTCTCGTTGAACACGTTCACCGATGTCGGTTGTCTTTGGCTAGCTAGAGCTTTTTAATGGTCGGCTTGAACATCTTCCTCCTAAATTGACCATCTTGACGGATACACTTTCTATCCTTGGTCGAGAACTCAACTTTCGATCGAACGTCACACATATACACATGCACACGAATGAAAGTTTCTGTTACATGCCAGGGAACGAAAAATTACAGATTCGATTGTGAAAGAAAATGTGACAGTCTATCATTTTTCGACGTACGACACATTAACAATTGTACGTAACGTATGAAATGTTCCAGCAA